AAAAGAAGAACATTCTTCGAGCAAGAAACTTACCAACAATACATCATCAAACCAATTTACCAAGAAAATAAAGGTAAAGTAAAAAGGTACAGAAATGTGTCAGTTCATATACTTGAAAAGAGTGAAGTGAAGAAGTTGTAGGCATACTTGTTACAGCGTCGCCAAGGGGACAGACGACTCACCATGTGGCGGCGATAAGGCGATGCCAAATTTGATTAGGCGTTAAAAAATGCTTTACAACTAAACCCTAGGCTGCAGAGATAGAAATCAATAACACAATTACACACCTTATCTCTCGATCTGGCCTTCTTCTCGACTCTGTGACTTCATCTTCCTTCGTCCCCAACGACACTTCCGTCATCCAGGGCTGGTCCTGAGGATTCAAGGGCCCGGGACATGATGAAAAAAATCCTTAAGACCTTAACCACAACGATTAAACTTTGAGTACATTTTGAGTTAATTGAGTACAAACTAATCTTGTCATTACTTTCATTTCAAAAAGAATAAAAAAGCATCATTCAATCACTAGAAATAATTGAAATGAGGTAGGAAAACAAAACCTTTAACTCAAATTAAAGTAAAAAATTTAGAAACACAAAATTTATTTAAGCTTAACCCAGATGAAACAAACAGCTCACAACACAATCAAGCTGCACCCAATCAGGCAATCGTCGTCGTCCCTCATCTGATCTGACGACGACCTGCGGCAGCGAGCACGGAACATCCATCGCCTTTTCGTTCCAATTTTCTTGTGGTTGTTCAAGTCTGTATCTTACTATCTTCGATCGATTAACCCGATTATTTATTTAATTGGAGAAGTTATTGGATTACTGAATGATGTGAATTCGGTTGTTATGTTGTTCGTTGAAGCTTGAATTCACGGGTTATGTTTCCAATTCTAACTTGCTACTTGTGTGATATAGAAGAAGCTGGGTTCAGATTTAATTAATTCATTTCTTGTTCAGCTTTAGAGTTGGAAGCGTAGATAATTTTTTATTTTTTTGTTAATTTGAGTCATTGATTTTTTTTAATCTGCTTGTTTTTTGAGCTGCTAGTTAAGGATCTCTAGTTTGTGTTTTGAGCTATTTGTTTCATCTGGGTTAAGCTTAGATAAATTTTGTGTTTCTAAATTTTTTAGTTTAATTTGAGTTAAAGGTTTTGTTTTCCTACCTCATTTTAATTATTTCTAGTGATTGAATGATGCTTTTTTTATTCTTTTTGAAATGAAAGTCATGAGACAAGATTAGTTTGTACTCAAAGTTTAAATCGTTATGGTTAAGGTCTTAAGGACTTTTTTTCATCATAACCCGGGCCCTTGAATCCTCAGGACCAGCCTTGGATGACGGAAGTGTCGTTGGGGACGAAGGAAGATGAAGTCACAGAGTCGAGAAGAAGGCCAGATCGAGAGATAAGGTGTGTAATTGTGTTATTGATTTCTATCTCTGCAGCCTAGGGTTTAGTTGTAAAGCATTTTTTAACGCCTAATCAAATTTGGCATCGCCTTATCGCCGCCACATGGTGAGTCGTCTGTCCCCTTGGCGACGCTGTAACAAGTATGCCTACAACTTCTTCACTTCACTCTTTTCAAGTATATGAACTGACACATTTCTGTACCTTTTTACTTTACCTTTATTTTCTTGGTAAATTGGTTTGATGATGTATTGTTGGTAAGTTTCTTGCTCGAAGAATGTTCTTCTTTT